GTTTTAATATTTAATTTAAAATTTACAAAATGTAACATGTGACATCGCCTACATCCGCAACGTCTGGAATTAATTACATATTAATAGAACTACCTTGATAAAATCTAACAATAGACGAAACGTTGGATCTGGTTTTCGATAATTATTAAAATACGGCAAGGGCGAAAATTACCCTGCACTTAAACAAATTTAGTATCAGTAATTTATTTTTAGGGTTTCTCTGAAAAGTAACATTCTTTTGTATCTAGTAAAAAGCCATATCTGCAAGAGTTTGGACGAAAAAGTACATTTCAACCGCCTTTTTTCAACCAACTTTTTGTATTTGACTGTAAAGTTTCAAAATTAGCGTTTGGTAATTATTCTCTACAAATCACGGGAAAAGAATGGCTATGATCCAATACTAATATTTGTACACTTTTAGCACTAACAGGGTTCATATGGACAAGTCTTCATTTCTACAATACTCCTCAGAAGTTAAGAAGTTAAGAACTGCTGCCTAGGTTAGATTTTTATTCGCAAATAATTATTACAGTAATTTTCATGAAATGAGAAGAACGGCTCTTCTTAGGAAGAAGTGTCCAACCGGTGCTGACATCTTATGATGATGTTTTCAAGTTATATTATTACTGCCGTTCCTTTTTAAAAATTAGACTAAACAATCGTATAAAAAGCTATTTGTAAATCAGGTTTTCCTTAAAGTGGATCTCTATGTTTGGATTAAATAAATTCTACAAGCATGTACACCTGATTTTTGTAAATAACATTTTGTACTTGTCACACTTTCTTATTTCAAATTTGATATTCATGCACACTAAATAAATTAGCACCCTTGTATTCACTCTCATGAATCACTCCAATTTTCCTCATTTTGGCCTGTAGGCCTCCGTGGCTGGTATCGACAGTACGTTGGTTTCCGGCTTGTCTAACGTTTCAAGAGTCATGTCGCTCTCTTTTTCAGAAGGCTATCTGAAGCTGACATGGCTCCCGAAAAGCTAAGTGAAGTAAATAGACAATGAGGTAACCATCTATTTATCCCCATCTGTAATCTTGAATACTAGAGGTAGCCGAATAGGAAAGGTGTTGCATTTACATGACATTTACACTATAATATAGAACAGAAAATTGACAATCTATAAACAGGCAGTTAGGAAATCAGATTTGTCATTTATGTACGTCACAAAAACATTTCTTGTCGAGTTATATCCTTAAGAACATTATGCGATACCCATCAAGAAGTAAGTCAGTAAATTATGCGAGACGAAGTTCTATCTCTTACATTGACGTTAACATTGTATAAAAACATTACGATGAACGAATTCCAAAATGAAGATATGCTATATCTAAGGAATATGCTGAAGTAATGTATTAGCAGATCAAAATGGTACCAATCGTTACCTAACCACAGCGTATGTATGCGGTATTGAACTAAAAGGGTTTTGCTCCAGTGATAGTTACTTAAATACTTACATAAAATGGTGTAGGTTTTTTGAATTGAAACCACTTAAAGAAAGTATTGTTTTTAATTTTTCGAAGAGACTACTGAGGTTTTAGTATTAATAAAATTATATGGTATAGTGATCTGGGTATTCCGTTTTTTCTGGTTACCTACTAAGATATGTTTGTGTTACCTACGGGTTGTTATGTAGACACTGTATTTGTTTCACTTTTTATTAATGTCTAACATTACATGCTTTTATTTTTCTTCTTCTAAAGATTTCATATTACTTCAGAAATATTTCAGTTCGAAGGCATTACTAATCCTTAATACTTAAATTCATTGTAGACTTGGGCATTTTAATTCAGTAAAAAGAGAGCTCATCTTAGTTCATTATTCTTCCGCGAACTAGTTCGCTCTTATAGTTCGTATTAAATGGTAGTAATAAAATAATTAAATCATAACAAACCTGGCATGACACTGACCATCAAAGAAACTAAAACAACCTACCTACTTGATACCAAACACTGAAAATCTTGAGCAAAAACATATTGAAAAAATTCAAAAATATATTCCTTTGGTTAATGAAATAAACGAAATATGGACTCAGAGCATATTATTCCAATAATATCATCAATAGGCGTTACACCTAAAACATTACATGCTGGCCTAGCTGAGTTCAAATTGCATAAATTTACGTACATAAGTCTACAGAAATCAGTAATCCTCGATACATGCGGAATAGTACGCCGATTTCTTTACACTTTTCAGATAGCATAATAGATTAAATTAGAAGCGGAGTTTTTAATAATCATCGATCGTATTTCAAGGGAAGAAGTACTGTTAGCTCTACAAAATTTAAAAACAGAAAATTAGTTTCCACATTGTATCCCAAAAGATGTGGATGAGATTCTTTGACATCAACCCATCTTCATGTGCTCGAAGTTAATCAGTGAAAACAGAGAAGACTGAGAGATAATAATAATAATAAAATAATTAAATAATAATAATCGGATATTGATTTACATCACATCAAATTTTCGTTAAAATTTATTGCTGTTCCAGGATTCCCAAATGGTCAAAATACATTTCAAAAAACAACCAAAACTGCTGATAAATTTCTGTTGTTTAAGGTTAGGTGGTTGTTTGCCGTTTATTTCACTGATCATGAGCAATCATGAGTCTCTTCCGCCATCTTCACTGCGTGGTAAATAATTGAACCAACGAACTGATTTCTTGTTTATCTGCGAAATAGTTCTTGTAGTTCACACATGGGATCGTTCTGCCGAACTAGTTCGTTCCTGAACCACACAAGTCTAATTCATTGATTCTTTTCTATTCATTTTTATTTGTCATCTATGTTGTCATAGTTTGCTATTTCTTTGTTTTCTATATGTGCATGCCCTATTTTCTTATGACGGCTGACATTTCATATCAGTTTTTTTTTAGAATTCCTTGTACATTCACTTGGGTGGAGAAGTGTCATGAAGGAGCCAGTATACTAAACGGAGGAAAAGAATAGTTTTCATGAAAGAAATGAAGATTTTTTTCAAATTATTTATTTATTCAAGTAAATTCATAGGAAAAAGCTCCAACACAATAACAAAATCAATGAAACATTCATTTTAAAAGAATATGTTTTTTGGCTCTTTCATTTTCGTATTGGAAGAGCCACCAAAGGTAATGAAAGAACCAGTTTGTACTATAAAGTGTAATTGTGAAAATTTTGCAAAATAATAATTATTAAGATTTTTTTTCCATCAGTCATTTTGAGTTATTCTAACAAAGACTTTATTCTTAACATACTATTCAGTCATACCTATTTATTAGAGGCGGATAACAACAATCTCGAAAAATAAGCAAAATAAAAATAGCTTCTATCAAAAACAACACCGTAAGATCTTTAAGAACTTAAATAAAAAATATTGCACAATATTCAAGTTTTAAAATCTTAACTATTTATTTGATTAAGTTTACGATTTAGACTTTTTACGAACTTTAGAATATTATGTTATTTGTTTAAAATTTGAAACATATTTGCAAAAGAAATTCACATACACACCACAGAATTCATGAGCCCAACCAGAACAAATTTTGCACAGAAGCCAATCTTGATCATTGTTTTTATATGTTTTGCTGCACACTACNTTTTTTCATAATCACCCTACCGTAATTTCCCTCAATTTTATTACACCTATTTCAATTCGAAGATAAACTGTTTTGTAATTTATTTACGTTATCAAATTGTAGCTTTAGATTACAAAGCATACTTTTACAGTTATATTTATTAGTTACCGACAACTACTGCGAGCGCTGTTGTGGCAGTTTACCATCAAAAACTCATCAGAAGTATAGAACTGGATAAGTTGATAGAATATACGAGAAGCTTAAATCATCATGCTTATTTCGTTCAATGTTATATTTCGGAATCTTAAAGAAGTTCATATCTACATTTCGATTGGCTGAAACATCGACTGTATATATTGAGACTAAGTGGATATTGAGGAAATAATGGCTATTTCTTAGTTTGTTACTGAAATTGTTGAATTCCTACACTGTCATTTAAAAAAAAATAACTATCTTTCGTTTTTTATTCACGTCTATTTGAGGTCGAAGGTAAGCTTCGTAATTAATTATCTATAAGATTGTGGCTTTAGATTACAAAGCAGTTTTTTCCTGATTATAGTAGACACCTTGGTACCTACACGCTTTGAATATGTGCCTACTTTGGTGCTGTAGACAATATAGTCAATTTCAATTTTAATATTGTATTTCAAACTAAAATTAATTAGACACAAATTGCTTAGTAATATGCTTATAAGGTGTCCGCTGCTTCCACCATATCGCGATTATTTATGATTACCTACAAACTGGCACCTTGTATGTGAGTTCATATTAACGGGTCTGACATTTTTTTTATCTACGGAAATTCTTGGCAACACGTCGTCTTCAAGTGAACAGCCGCAAACATTTCAACATAAAGGTAAAATTGTGTTGTTATTATCTACCTACACTTTATTTTCAGCCCCAACTGTATTGTAATAAATTACAAATACAAAAGAAGAGTCCGACAAAAATGCTCCGTTTGGAATATCCGCCACGTGTAATATACTAAAAATATATGTCAGCCAACTGTTTTTTCTTATTTTTAATACACTTGCTACACACTGAAAAAAGTTACCGCAAACAAAAATGTTAGTAGCTATAGCCTCAACACATCTTATTGTTCCCACAAATAAATATAAATGTTGTAAAAGTAATTGTTCGAATAACAAAATTATAAGTTACTACATCAATCCCTTTTTACTTGCAGAAACTAACTCCAGTTGTTTGTACAACATATAATATAGTTTCCACAACAAGTGTTTGTCACTTTTTTCTACATACTGTAGCAGTTTTTACAACAAGCGTATATGCTGTAATATCTTGTATTTGTCAGTGATACTATCTTCAATTGTTGGATGAACAAATAATGTTATTTAGTAAAAACAATAATTTTGTTATAGGAACAAACTGATTAGGCAACCTTACAATTAAGTAATAAAATAAGTTCATTTAACGTACTTCTTATTTCAATTGATATTATATAGAACAAAACAAACGGAAAAAATAAAAATTAAAAAAAAAACTTAAAAATAAGTGATTAAACATGTTTATTTGATACTAGTGTAAAGTGAGACAAATAACTTCCCATCAGCAGTGGACAACAAATAGCCATTATCGATTGCTAGAATACAAAAATTCAGTGAAAGTAAAACACTTTCATAAATGCTTCCACACCACTTATACATACATCAATGTTTATCCCACTTTGTACAGAGATTATAGAAACCTTTTTATTAAAAAACCAGTGTATAACCTAGTGGTTGCTTCAGGGAGAAAATTTTTCAATATATTCCATTATTGTACAATCATCTTCTATTAACCGACCCTAACGTAACAAGTAAGTTTTTCTCCATTTTTCTTCTGTTTCTGGTCATGGGTCGGTACTATTTTCTAACCAGGTAATATATTCACAATCTAAACAATGTTTTAATATATAATTCAGAAGAAACTGTAATTTCAATATGTAAAAACTGCTTAATTAACGTACCATCTAAACCGCTAATACTTTTGATATTCTGTAAAAATGTTACCCTCAAACTGCTGAATCAGAAGTTCCAAATTCCATTCCTTCAACAGATTAGCCACTTCGATTTTTTGCTCACTACTTCTATCTGATGCATCTATTTCCTATTAAAACCAAAAACGAAATGAATTTGAAACGATGTGTAATGTGCATCACGCAAGCGCTTAGAAATATTATTATAGCGTTCTTTCTTTCAACAAACTTATTTGTTACCAGAACAAAGTGAATTAGTAATTTTTTTTTGTTTGTTATAAATAGTAGATACGCCTACAAATTGTTGCTTCTTAAGGAAACTATCGCTGTTTATAAACGTAGGTAAAACAATTTTTGAAATTATTAAGTACTTTAGTTTACTTAAGTAAATATTTCTTTTTTGAAATAAAATCTATGTAACATATTTTATTTTGTTGTCAAATTCATTTTTTTCAGTGCAATTAAAATCAAAAATTATGTTATAAAAAAAAAATAAAACAACACGTGAAAGAAGTGAAACTTCTTTGGCGATCTCTATACTTTTATAACGAATAAGTAATGATT